GGACCCTCCTCTCCAGCACCCCCGAATAGACCTTACCAGGGAGGCTGAGGAGTGTGATCTCCCTATAGCTGGAACACACCCTCCGGTCCCCCTTCTTGAAGAGGGGGACCACCACCCCGGTCTGCCAATCCAGAGGCACCGCCCCCGATGTCCACGCGATGCTGTAGATGCATGTCAACCAAGACAGCCCCGCTACATCCAGAGCCTTGAGGAACTCCGGGCAGATCTCATCCACCCCCGGGGCCCGGCCACCGAGGAGCTTTTTAACCACCTCAGCGACCTCTGCCCCAGAGATAGGTGAGTCCACGCCCAAGTCCCCAGACTCTGCTTCCTCATTGGAAGGCGTGTCAGTGGGATTGAGGGGGTCATGGAAGTATTCCTTCCACCGACCCACAACTACCTGAGCTGAGGTCAGCAGTGCACCATCCCCACCATAAACAGTGTTGATGCTGCACCGCTTTCCCGCCCTGAGACGCTGGATAGTGGACCAGAATCTCCTCGAAGCCATCCGGAAGTTGTTCTCCATGGCCTCGCCAAACTCCTCCCATACCCCAGTTTTTGCCTCAGGGACCGCCGAAGCCGCGTTCCGCTTGGCCCGTCGGTACTCATCAGCTGCTTCTGCTGTCCCACAGGCCAAAAAGGCCCGATAGGACTCCATCTTCAGCTTGACGGCATCCCTCACCGCCGGTGTTCACCAGCGGGTTCGGGGATTGCCGCCGCGACAAGCACCGACCACCTTACGGCCACAGCTCCGGTCAGCCACCTCGACAATGGAGGCGCGGAACATGGCCTATTTGGACTCTATGTCCCCCGCCTCCCCTGGGACATGGGCGAAGTTCTGCCGGAGGTAGGAGTTGAAACTCCCCCTGACAGGGGATTCCGCCAGACGTTCCCAGCAGACCCGCACTATACGCTTGGGTCTACCAGGTCTGACCGGCTTCCTCCCCCACCAGCGGAGCCAACCCACCACCAGGTGGCGATCGGTTGACAGCTCCGCCCCTCTCCTCACCCGAGTGTCCAATACATGCGGCCGCAAGTCTGATGACACGACCACAAAGTCGATCATCGAACTGCGGCCTAGGGTGTCCTGGGGCTTCGTCCACCGCAGTAAACCCCAATGTACAGGCGCCCAGCCAGGGGGTAATAAGTATGCCCACCCCAGCTTGGCGCCTCTCCCCGTGAGCAACTCCAGAGTGGAAGAGGGTCCAACCCCCTTCGAGGAGACTGGTTCCAGAGCCCAGGCCATGTGTCAAGGTGAGCCAGACTACATCTAGTTCGGAACTTCACAGCCTCGCGCACCAGCTCAGGCTCCTTCCCCACCAGAGAGGTGACATTCCAGAGCTAGCTTCTGCAGCCGAGGATCGGATCGCCAAGGTCCCCGCCTTCGGCCACCGCCCAACTCACACTGCACCCAACCACTATAGCCCCTTCTACAGGTGGTGAGCCCATTGGAGGGGGAACCCACGTGCCTTGTTCGGTCTGTGCCCAACCAGGCCCCATGGGTGCAGGCCTGGCCACCAGGTGCTCGCCATCGAGGCCCACCCCGAGGCCTGGCTCCAGGGGGGGCCCCGGTGACCCGCGTCTGGGCAAGGGAAATCGTGGAACCAATATTTTATTCATCATTGGGGGTCTTGTGAGCCGCACTTCGTCTGGTTCCTCACCCAGGACCTGTTTGCCTTGGGTGACCCTACCAGGGGCATAAAGCCCCGGGCAACTTAGCTCCTGGGATCATTGGAACACGCAAACCCCTCCACCATGATAAGGCTCCAGGAGAGGTAATCAATGAACAGACATGTTAATTTCTTGGATGTCTGTTGTATCTTCAATACATTCACTAAGGGTTGTTACAGGTGCAGTCATTTGTGTAGGAGAACAGCAACGAAGGGAGTGTGCCTACTTTGACGACTGCCGATTGTCACAGATCCAGATTCCCCAAACCTCACTTGTTGATTTTTCACTGCCCAGAAGTAAATGGTCTTCTGCCAGTTGGAGTTAGTGTAGTTTATAGTGTAGAAGTTCAGGGATGGTGTTATTAAATGCTGAGCTAAAATCTAAAAGCAGTATCCTAACATACCCCAGAGCAGTTGAGGTGTGGAGGGATGTAATGTAGCTGTATTTTGACTGCATCACCCACAGATCTGCTGGCCTAACACTGTTCTTCAGGTAGGCAAGCACTAGTCTTTCAAAAATTTGATGACTACAGAGGCCATAAAAATAAGCATTATACAAAAAATAGAAAAGATAAAGGGAAGAACAATGCAGTTTAAAAAATGTGTGTTTCCTTCATTGAACCATTATTTGCATAGGTAACAGTTTCCAAACACTAGGCATTAAGAGTTAACTTTGAGAAAAACTAACCCAGTATGTCTTCCCAGCTCTTCTGATTTGGTACTGAGGGATGTAGGACATTTTTAGTTTGCATAACTTTGTCCAGTTGAGTGGGGGCTACAGACATCTTAATAAACTATGAAGGACCAAATCAGCTACAGTCACAATAGATTCCATTGAAGAACCCTGTAATAACCATGATTGGTGAGATTTCTGTGAACCAGCAGCCAATAAATGCAACATAAATGTACAACATTGGATTATCATTATATCATTATAAATATATATAAATATATATTTCAGGTAAGAAACATTAATACCAGCTATCCAGCTGTAAAAGTCAGGCACAAAAGAGACGGTAAGGAAATGTTTGAGTGAACATTATGAATGAGCTCCAATGACGATGTGGATGAATGCTCTGTCATGTTTGGTCCATTTCATGCTACCAAATACTGTTCTATTCTGAGAAACCATAAATGAAAACAAACAACAAAACTGGAGCATGAATGATGAACTCTTGCAAATGCATCTGCAATATGCTCGGTCACAATATTACATGTCAATGCCTTTCTACCACTAAACTTTTTCAGCATGTGATGACTGATAATGTTCATAGCTAACCTGAACTTCTTTCTTCCCCTCACAACCATTGAACTACCAAGAATTTCCTCTTAGCTAATTTTCCAGTTGTCCTTTCTGTCTTCAGTAGCTCCTGTGACAACCAGTAGCCCTGCAGCACCAAGTACAACAGTTGGTATGTATCACTCTTCATCAGATCCTGTCACTGATTCCCATGACATCTGAATCTGTACCTTTACATCCAGATTTTCTAAACACTGAAGGTTAGAGTGAGGATGCAATCAAAATAAAAGCTTCAGTGGGAATGGCCAGTACTACGCATGTCCTACTAAAATGCACAATCTGATGGAGACAGACACAGGCAGTTCATTTTAATAATGAGACGCCCAATCTACCAAGGGAAATGCAAAATAAGTCATGTTTTATTTGGCGTTCAATAATGGCGCACTTTGCAGTAAATTGCCTACTGCAAACCTTAGTAAATCAGATTGCGTGATTCATTTGAATACACTCTTCCCCATATTTTGAGCTTTGAAAGAGTCGTCTTACAAATGTATATGCAATATGCTCAGTCACAGAATGCTTTCTGAAATTGCTGTATTCCCCCAGATTTTCAGCTTTGCGAGGGAACTCTTTCAAATGCATCTGCAATATGCTGGGTTAAAATATTACATGTCAATGCCTTTCTACCACTAAACTTTTTCAGCATGTGATGACTGATAATGTTCATAGCTAACCAGAACTTCTCTCTTCCCCCCACAACCATTGAACTACCTAGAATTTCCTCTTAGCTAATTATCCAGTTGTCCGTTCTGTCTTCTGTAGCTCCTGAAACAACCAGCACCACTGCTGAAACAACCAGCACCACTACAGCACCAAGTACAACAGGTGGTATGTATCATTCTTCATCAAATCCTGTCACTGATTCCCATAACATCTGAATTGCCTACTGCAAACCTT